CCCTTTCCTTGACTGCTTAGTTGGCATTGGCCAATTATTTGGTGATGCACCTTAATTGGCCGTGAGCAAATGCATGCATTTTCTTTGCTTGTAATTCTGTTAAATTTGCATCCTTCAGTATAGTATAAGTGGTCTTATAAGCACATACTCTTGCAGCTAACAAACTTATATTTATAGGTGACAAAGTGCACTATTTGCTTACAATTTATTATTTATAGGAACTCTGGCAAAGTATACTGCTGGTCAACTCTATTACTATCCAGCTTTCCAATCAGTCATTCACGGGGAGAAACTAAGAAATGAGCTAAGGAGAGACCTTACCAGAGAAACTGGCTGGGAAGCAGTATTGCGAATTAGATGCGGTAAAGGTCTGTGTTGAAAATTTTGACCTTGCTTACTTTTTGTTTTTCTTCTGAATCGTGCTGCAAGTATTCAGTTATATACAAATATCTACAATATGATAGTTGTCAAATGCTTTTGTGCTTCTAGGTGTCCGTTTCACAACTTATCATGGAAACTTTATGCTAAGGTCCACAAATTTGTTAGCACTTCCAGCCGTGGATTGTGATAAAGCCTTTGCCATGCAGTTATCACTTGAAGAAACATCACTGACAGATCAGACAATGTATTTCCAAGTTGCATTGTTGTATCCTTTCTTCCATAATCCTTGAGATGAGTTATAATTATAAATCATCTACATCTTCATCTTTTTCTGATAATTTTTTAATGATTTGTTTCATAATACTTCCATTTGTGAGATAGATGTATAAGTTCATTCTTGCAGCACAATCATCTATGAATCATGAGGCCTTTCTCATCCATCCCGTTTTCGAATTAAGCGTATGTTTGTCACACATTAAAAACTCATTTCTAGGAATACGAACTTGGGAATGTAGATTCCTCATGTTTGCTACTAATTAAAAACGTCCTAGGAATATTAACTTAGGAATGTAGATTTCCCGTGTTTTGTTATTAGCATTGAAAATGTATTCTTAGGTATTGTTTATTCCCTAGGGACTGTTATGCCATGAATTAAGTCATTTATATTGGAAAAACAAAATAAAATGAACTTATTTTATCTTTTTCATTTTTGTTTTAGCACATTTTATTGTGTATTTTTATTTTTATTTCTTCTATGCTTTGCATCAACGTAGAAGTCTGTCAGGCTTGTTACTCAGTTAAGGTCATTATGGGAGTTCAATTAGAATCTGAAACTTCTTCAAGAATGGTGTCATCCTTAACTGAAATAGGTATACTGCATCTTGTGGAGAAAGGCGTATCAGAGTACATACAGCAGCAGTTCCAGTAGTTAAAGACTTGGTAGAGATGTATCGCTTGGCTGATACTGGTGCAATTTTATCTCTGTTTAGTAGGCTGGGTAGGGTGACATGACTTTTATTCTAGTTACATCATATGTATGGATCATAGATTCATAGTTTCTTTCATCTTCCTAAGCAGTTTCTTATATTTGCAGCAATTGAGAAAACATTATCCCATAAACTTGAAGATGCCCGGTGTGCTGTACATTTAGGAATTGTGAAAGGCCTCCGAGATTATCGAAATATCTATGCTGGGCAACAGCGCTTGGTGAATAGGATGATATATCCTGAGTCATTAAAGTTCCTACCCTTGTATGGTTTAGCTCTTTGTAGATCAGCACCTCTCCGTGGTGGATATGGGGATGTTTCATTAGATGAACGGTGTGCAGCTGGACACACAATGATGACCCTAACAGTAAAAAGGATGTTGAAACTTCTCTACCCTAGTTTGCATCGACTTGACGAATATCTTCTAAATGTATGCCTTTACTGCCTCTGAAAACTTATGGCGAAAATGGTTTAAATGTCTGCTCCTTGAATTATTTTTGTCTGTGTTTATGTTCAGGCTGGTGATTTGAAAAAAATTGATAGAAGGTTACCTTTGACTAGGGAGAGCTTGGATTCTAGGGGCCTTTATATATATGACGATGGCTTCCAGTTCATTTTATGGTTTGGTAGAGTGATTTCACCTGACATAGCTAAGAACTTACTTGGGTCTAACTTTGCAGCAGAGTTTTCAAAGGTACTGTATATTCAATAAAGACTAGGAGAAAGCGCAGTACATGGGTTTATTATTCTTGTCATTTTAAGTTCTTTTGTTTCTTAAAACTTTCGTGTTTATCTCATCTTTTTCTAATTTCTTCATAAGTGTTTTTGGTTCTTCATTAAGGATTGTTAATTTCAAATTATTCTCTCTGCAATCTGATGCATGCACATGTATATATGATTGTTGAATTATAAACAATCATTATTATATCGAGCTTGCTTGGTAGTTTTAGAATAATTGATACTTGAAAAATTATTGATGTGTTCTTGCATTTGAGCTGAAAAGTATATTGTATGTGAACCTTGAGATATATGACGGGAGTGTTCAATACATAAATTTAGTATGCATTTCTCAGTGCTGCAGCTTCATGATCAAAAATATGAATTCATAGTTGATTTTGTGTTAAATTTGTCCCTTAGATGGTTTAGACTTACGCCAGTGTTGATTGATATCCTATTTAATAATTTTGCAGACTTCTGATGTATTCCTCCCCTTTTTCTCTCGTTCAATAACATGTGGCATCTATTTTCAATTGTATATATGTTTTATTTCCTTGAACAGGTTACTCTAAATGAGAATGAGAATGATACTGAAATGTCTCGGAGGCTGATAAAGGTACTTGAGAAGCTCAGAAGTACTGACCGTGCATATTACCAGTTGTGCCGCCTTGTGAGGCAAGGTGAACACCCCAGAGAAGGATTCCTTCTTCTTTCAAACCTGTTTGAGGACCAGTTGGGTGCTAATAATGGATATGCTGATTGGATGATACAGATTTCCAGACAAGTGCAACAAACATAATATAGAGGTACTGATTCTAATCTTCTGTAAGGAAGCTTCAATTAAAGCTGGTGATTTTCATNTATGGTATATTAGTCCCTTTTTGCCTGCTACTTTGAATTTGTTTTGTTGTTATTATTATTATAGGTTGTTGTTTTGGTTGCAACGCATAAGTAGTTGTGATCTTTTTGGCTCAAAATTCATTGAGCATAGTATCTATTAATTGAAAGTTAAAACAATGCTACAATATGATTTAAAAGATTGTTTTCATGCTAAAGAGTGGGATGTTTAATGTTAGACAATATGAATGCAAACTTACTAGTTATAATTTTCTATTATCTGTGTGTATTGTGTATTTGCGTGCGCGCTTAAATGTATTTCCTGGGATCATGGCAGGAAAATCTTAACCCAGTTTTAGATAATTCATTTAACATGGCAGTTATTATTGAAATATCTTATTTAAATTTTAATATTCAATACTTTGTTCAATTGCAAGGATGGGCCTTCTATTACTACTAGGCACTCTAAATAACCAAATGTCATTGAATAAATCTGGTAGATCAGAATAATGAACCAAGTTACATGCACAGAGATGGAACCCATGGTTTGCTAAGTTTAAAGGAGGGTCCATTTGAATTTGTAGAATTTTAGTGCAATTGTTCCATCCCTTTACAAAATTATACTTTCCTATGCATTTCTGTTTTGTGAATTTTTCCTGCCTCTCTATAGAGTCAACTTGGAGGGAAATTGTTAGTTTTTCAAAACACACTCCCATCTCTTGGTGTTGGTCGATTGAAACTACGTGGAGATGATTCTAAAGTCTATGGCACAGATAAAGAACACGTGTTAAGACTGCCAGAAGATCCCTTTTACAAGCAAATGGCAGCTGAGTTTTCTAAATACCAAATCTCAGTAAATATGTATGCATTCAGTGATAAGTACACCGACATCGCATCCCTAGGTAAATCATTTTTAATTTCTTTAACTTCTCCATGGAATGGATACTTATGATGATTCTCTGATGAAATAATGTTGCTTACCTATGGTTTTCTTAGTTCTCTGTAGATTTCATTTATACTTTTGAATACTAAACTTAATTGAATGAGTACCACGTTTTTACTCTTCTGTGGTGTATGATAGTGCTGTGTGATTAAGGATGGGTGAATGTCAACTAAAAGGGACACTCAAATATGTGTCTACCGAAGGGTTATCTCCCTTTCCTTGACTGCTTAGTTGGCATTGGCCAATTATTTGGTGATGCACCTTAATTGACCGTGAGCAAATGCATGCATTTTCTTTGCAAGTAATTCTGTTAAATTTGCATCCTTCAGTATAGTATAAGTGGTCTTATAAGCACATAATCTTGCAGCTAACAAACTTATATTTATAGGTGACAAAGTGCACTATTTGCTTACAATTTATTATTTATAGGAACTCTGGCAAAGTATACTGCTGGTCAACTCTATTACTATCCAGCTTTCCAATCAGTCATTCACGGGGAGAAACTAAGAAATGAGCTAAGGAGAGACCTTACCAGAGAAACTGGCTGGGAAGCAGTATTGCGAATTAGATGCGGTAAAGGTCTGTGTTGAAAATTTTGACCTTGCTTACTTTTTGTTTTTCTTCTGAATCGTGCTGCAAGTATTCAGTTATATACAAATATCTACAATATGATAGTTGTCAAATGCTTTTGTGCTTCTAGGTGTCCGTTTCACAACTTATCATGGAAACTTTATGCTAAGGTCCACTGATTTGTTAGCACTTCCTGCTGTAGATTGTGATAAAGCCTTTGCTNTACTAACCTGAACAAAAAGATTGGGCAATGTGTCTTAAATGTTTTTATTTATAGTTTAGACAATCCAGTGATCTGCGCATTAAAATCTGGTTTAACTTAGGTTTTCAATAATTTTCTATATTACCAGCCATATTGTTCTGCTTTTCCTTTTCCCTGCCTGAAAGTTCACTTTAAAGAGTTTTTAGTGTGTTAATTAAAGTTTTTGAAGAAAAAAACAACAGAGTCTATAAAATATCTGATTGAAGTTTATTTGAAATGTTTTGAGCAACTTCTAAACAAAACTGTAATTGTGATTATCTCTCAAAACAGAAGTATTTTTTTTTGTAATTGTATTTAACCATTAAAAAAAAACACTTTTCATCAAATCTCTAAGCAATAACTATTTTTTTACAAAGCTGGATCTTGGGTGCCCATCTACTTGAGATTCCACTGTTTTGTAGACTTGGGTGGTAATAAATGTTTTTTATGGGCAACTCTAATTTGTAGACATATATTTTCATTTGGGGATGCCAAAATCCAGTTCAACCCAAAATTAATTTCTTTTGTGCAAGATAAAGTTCAGCTTCAAGTGCATTCTGGAGTTGTTATTCCAACTCACATCATTCTTTGTTGTTGGTTCATGTTGTTCTTATTCCAGGTTGTGGCCCAAACAATCAGGTCATGTTTAGATGAGCTCCCGGGCTATCCACGAACACAAATAGGGTTTGCAACTTTTGACAGCACAATACATTTTTATAACATGAAGGTCTGCAGTATTATTAGTATTAATATTGTTAATATATCTCTATCTTTGCCTTAATTGGCTCAACATTTTGCTTATTATTCTATGTTACACTTTTCCAGTCATCCTTGACTCAGCCACAAATGTTGGTGGTCTCAGATCTGGATGACATATTTGTTCCCCTGCCAGATGATCTCCTTGTCAACTTATCAGAATCAAGAAGTGTGGTGGAAACGTTTCTTGATGGTCTACCATCCATGTTCCAGGACAATGTGAATCTGGAATCTGCTTTTGGTCCTTCTCTGAAGGCTGCCTTTTTGATTATGGTATATTAGTCCCTTTTTGCCTGCTACTTTGAATTTGTTTTGTTGTTATTATTATTATAGGTTGTTGTTTTGGTTGCAACGCATAAGTAGTTGTGATCTTTTTGGCTCAAAATTCATTGAGCATAGTATCTATTAATTGAAAGTTAAAACAATGCTACAATATGATTTAAAAGATTGTTTTCATGCTAAAGAGTGGGATGTTTAATGTTAGACAATATGAATGCAAACTTACTAGTTATAATTTTCTATTATCTGTGTGTATTGTGTATTTGCGTGCGCGCTTAAATGTATTTCCTGGGATCATGGCAGGAAAATCTTAACCCAGTTATAGATAATTCATTTAACATGGCAGTTATTATTGAAATATCTTATTTAAATTTTAATATTCAATACTTTGTTCAATTGCAAGGATGGGCCTTCTATTACTACTAGGCACTCTAAATAACCAAATGTCAATGAATAAATCTGGTAGATCAAAATAATGAACCAAGTTACATGCACAGAGATGGAACCCATGGTTTGCTAAGTTTAAAGGAGGGTCCATTTGAATTTGTAGAATTTTAGTGCAATTGTTCCATCCCTTTACAAAATTATACTTTCCTATGCATTTCTGTTTTGTGAATTTTTCCTGCCTCTCTATAGAGTCAACTTGGAGGGAAATTGTTAGTTTTTCAAAACACACTCCCATCTCTTGGTGTTGGTCGATTGAAACTACGTGGAGATGATTCTAAAGTCTATGGCACAGATAAAGAACACGTGTTAAGACTGCCAGAAGATCCCTTTTACAAGCAAATGGCAGCTGAGTTTTCTAAATACCAAATCTCAGTAAATATGTATGCATTCAGTGATAAGTACACCGACATCGCATCCCTAGGTAAATCATTTTTAATTTCTTTAACTTCTCCATGGAATGGATACTTATGATGATTCTCTGATGAAATAATGTTGCTTACCTATGGTTTTCTTAGTTCTCTGTAGATTTCATTTATACTTTTGAATACTAAACTTAATTGAATGAGTACCACGTTTTTACTCTTCTGTGGTGTATGATAGTGCTGTGTGATTAAGGATGGGTGAATGTCAACTAAAAGGGACACTCAAATATGTGTCTACCGAAGGGTTATCTCCCTTTCCTTGACTGCTTAGTTGGCATTGGCCAATTATTTGGTGATGCACCTTAATTGGCCGTGAGCAAATGCATGCATTTTCTTTGCTTGTAATTCTGTTAAATTTGCATCCTTCAGTATAGTATAAGTGGTCTTATAAGCACATACTCTTGCAGCTAACAAACTTATATTTATAGGTGACAAAGTGCACTATTTGCTTACAATTTATTATTTATAGGAACTCTGGCAAAGTATACTGCTGGTCAACTCTATTACTATCCAGCTTTCCAATCAGTCATTCACGGGGAGAAACTAAGAAATGAGCTAAGGAGAGACCTTACCAGAGAAACTGGCTGGGAAGCAGTATTGCGAATTAGATGCGGTAAAGGTCTGTGTTGAAAATTTTGACCTTGCTTACTTTTTGTTTTTCTTCTGAATCGTGCTGCAAGTATTCAGTTATATACAAATATCTACAATATGATAGTTGTCAAATGCTTTTGTGCTTCTAGGTGTCCGTTTCACAACTTATCATGGAAACTTTATGCTAAGGTCCACAAATTTGTTAGCACTTCCAGCCGTGGATTGTGATAAAGCCTTTGCCATGCAGTTATCACTTGAAGAAACATCACTGACAGATCAGACAATGTATTTCCAAGTTGCATTGTTGTATCCTTTCTTCCATAATCCTTGAGATGAGTTATAATTATAAATCATCTACATCTTCATCTTTTTCTGATAATTTTTTAATGATTTGTTTCATAATACTTCCATTTGTGAGATAGATGTATAAGTTCATTCTTGCAGCACAATCATCTATGAATCATGAGGCCTTTCTCATCCATCCCGTTTTCGAATTAAGCGTATGTTTGTCACACATTAAAAACTCATTTCTAGGAATACGAACTTGGGAATGTAGATTCCTCATGTTTGCTACTAATTAAAAACGTCCTAGGAATATTAACTTAGGAATGTAGATTTCCCGTGTTTTGTTATTAGCATTGAAAATGTATTCTTAGGTATTGTTTATTCCCTAGGGACTGTTATGCCATGAATTAAGTCATTTATATTGGAAAAACAAAATAAAATGAACTTATTTTATCTTTTTCATTTTTGTTTTAGCACATTTTATTGTGTATTTTTATTTTTATTTCTTCTATGCTTTGCATCAACGTAGAAGTCTGTCAGGCTTGTTACTCAGTTAAGGTCATTATGGGAGTTCAATTAGAATCTGAAACTTCTTCAAGAATGGTGTCATCCTTAACTGAAATAGGTATACTGCATCTTGTGGAGAAAGGCGTATCAGAGTACATACAGCAGCAGTTCCAGTAGTTAAAGACTTGGTAGAGATGTATCGCTTGGCTGATACTGGTGCAATTTTATCTCTGTTTAGTAGGCTGGGTAGGGTGACATGACTTTTATTCTAGTTACATCATATGTATGGATCATAGATTCATAGTTTCTTTCATCTTCCTAAGCAGTTTCTTATATTTGCAGCAATTGAGAAAACATTATCCCATAAACTTGAAGATGCCCGGTGTGCTGTACATTTAGGAATTGTGAAAGGCCTCCGAGATTATCGAAATATCTATGCTGGGCAACAGCGCTTGGTGAATAGGATGATATATCCTGAGTCATTAAAGTTCCTACCCTTGTATGGTTTAGCTCTTTGTAGATCAGCACCTCTCCGTGGTGGATATGGGGATGTTTCATTAGATGAACGGTGTGCAGCTGGACACACAATGATGACCCTAACAGTAAAAAGGATGTTGAAACTTCTCTACCCTAGTTTGCATCGACTTGACGAATATCTTCTAAATGTATGCCTTTACTGCCTCTGAAAACTTATGGCGAAAATGGTTTAAATGTCTGCTCCTTGAATTATTTTTGTCTGTGTTTATGTTCAGGCTGGTGATTTGAAAAAAATTGATAGAAGGTTACCTTTGACTAGGGAGAGCTTGGATTCTAGGGGCCTTTATATATATGACGATGGCTTCCAGTTCATTTTATGGTTTGGTAGAGTGATTTCACCTGACATAGCTAAGAACTTACTTGGGTCTAACTTTGCAGCAGAGTTTTCAAAGGTACTGTATATTCAATAAAGACTAGGAGAAAGCGCAGTACATGGGTTTATTATTCTTGTCATTTTAAGTTCTTTTGTTTCTTAAAACTTTCGTGTTTATCTCATCTTTTTCTAATTTCTTCATAAGTGTTTTTGGTTCTTCATTAAGGATTGTTAATTTCAAATTATTCTCTCTGCAATCTGATGCATGCACATGTATATATGATTGTTGAATTATAAACAATCATTATTATATCGAGCTTGCTTGGTAGTTTTAGAATAATTGATACTTGAAAAATTATTGATGTGTTCTTGCATTTGAGCTGAAAAGTATATTGTATGTGAACCTTGAGATATATGACGGGAGTGTTCAATACATAAATTTAGTATGCATTTCTCAGTGCTGCAGCTTCATGATCAAAAATATGAATTCATAGTTGATTTTGTGTTAAATTTGTCCCTTAGATGGTTTAGACTTACGCCAGTGTTGATTGATATCCTATTTAATAATTTTGCAGACTTCTGATGTATTCCTCCCCTTTTTCTCTCGTTCAATAACATGTGGCATCTATTTTCAATTGTATATATGTTTTATTTCCTTGAACAGGTTACTCTAAATGAGAATGAGAATGATACTGAAATGTCTCGGAGGCTGATAAAGGTACTTGAGAAGCTCAGAAGTACTGACCGTGCATATTACCAGTTGTGCCGCCTTGTGAGGCAAGGTGAACACCCCAGAGAAGGATTCCTTCTTCTTTCAAACCTGTTTGAGGACCAGTTGGGTGCTAATAATGGATATGCTGATTGGATGATACAGATTTCCAGACAAGTGCAACAAACATAATATAGAGGTACTGATTCTAATCTTCTGTAAGGAAGCTTCAATTAAAGCTGGTGATTTTCATGCGGGCAATCAATATTCACCATCGATTTTTACCTTGAATATTTCTCATCCTCTGGTAATTGTCCCTCTTATAGTGCCCAGTCATAATCAACAGTACGTAGACTGTGAAGCAGTTTACATTATATATCCTTTGAATGAAATTTGGATCACCTAAATCTCGCCTAAATGGAATCTCAAAAAAACAGAGAAACAGGATCCTTTGATGTTTTACATAGGGGGAAACATTATATAGAATTTAGTACGAAAGAATTGTAGTATGTGTATACATTTAGGCAGGTTAATCAAGTGAGAACCTGAGAAGTGAGAAGAGTTTAATATTAAGTATTTAAACACACATAAATGGTAAAGATTGTTCATACTTAAATGAATTCAAGATTGGTCATTTATTTGAGATTGAACAGTCGAATTTATTTCCTCTCGGGCTGTCACTTCTCCTCACATTCACATACATTACGTAGTTTCTACCCAATTTGAGATTGATAGCTATATTGACTTGAACATAATCATATATCTCCTTTATGTAGTGATTACCTTGTGAACATTTTCTATGGCTTAATATGGTGGTTTTTTTTTGTCAGGATTGTTACGTGTATCGTAATTGAAGGAATTTTTCGTTTCTTCATTAGAAATAAATTGAGTTTATGCATGGGATGCATTACAAGCGTGGATGCTTGACTAGGCTAATTGGTCGTTAGAAGGATGTTTCATGGACACTGCAAGTTCGCCCTGGAATGTATCAATTAGGTGAACTGTAACTTAGTGATTAGATTCAAAGTGTTTTTCTTTCCTTGGAATAGAAAATAAAACTCTTTTGGATAGGTTGCAGTTATCTGAGGTATAATTTCATTTTTTAATTCAAATTGTTTTTTGGCTAGGGAGAGTAAACACAGAGAGAGAAGTCAAGTCAAAATCAGTGCTAATTCTTGAATTTTGTTTGCTGGTAATTTTTATTTATTCTGATATTCAGATTTTGGAACTATTCTCTTCCAAATCATCATTTTACCTTTGTCAGCAAACTTTCGTTTTCGCACCATTTTTTTTCACTCCTGGGGGTTGTCTGTAATATTGGCAAATATGAAAAGTAAAAGTTATAAAATTAGTTGGACGTTATTTTGTAGATAAAAATAAATATAGTAATTATATTTTTACATTTTTAGTAAATTTTGATTTCTTATTTGTTTTGATTAAAAAATAAATATTTTATTAAAAATAAAAATTAGACGGTAAAATCAGTATTATGATTAAAACGAGTATTATAATATTGAGGAAGAAATATATAGAATTATCTGCACCATTGTATAATGCATACCTTTTTTATAACTTTCTTTGGTGTTCACTTTTATTAGACTATTAAGACTTCCTAGTTTTCCATGAAGAGTTTTTTTTTAAAGTATTGAGATAAAAAAAACAATAACAATAAAAATGTAATTTATTAGGAAAATGACATAATCAAAATTCAAACTCTGGACCACTCAATTGACTAACTCAAACACAAGTGAGTACCATTTATACTTATGTCAACAACCAACATTGATAAGTTCAAATGTATTTTTAAAAAAAATCTATTATCAAAAAATGGAATAATCGAGAAATTTGTTTAAAAAAACACAATACCAAAATTACGGAAAAGTTCATTTATTATTAGTCAGTAACTTCAAAAAATACACTTGGGTCCTGGTTATCATTTTCTTATAAGAGATTGATCAATTCTTTTATATGACACTTTATAGTTTCAATACAATACTATTCTTTTCTTATTTGCCTTTATTAAATATTACGAGTACATGTGTATTTTATTAATGAATTGTAGAGAAATAATTTTAAAGTTCATTGGTAACGAGTGTATAAATGTGGTCAATTGGTATCATTTAAAAAAACAAATTCCACATAATTAGTCTTATTCATATTAGTGATTCTGTTAAAAAACTTATTGTTGTTATTAAGAACTAGAAACACTATATTTTATATGAAAAAATATCTCAAATTATACACATTATTTGTGGAGGCAATGACACCACATCTCAACTTCCACAATTATTTAATGCATTGCGAATCCAAAAATGTGTTAATTTGTCTTGATTCAGTGTTGCTTATGAATAAAATATCTGCACATTGAATTTCTCAACTCCAAAATTGGATTAAATTGCAAAGATAATGAGCAAGTATAACTAATACACTTATGTTATTATAAATAATTATTATCCAAATATTGAATGTTGAAATTGTGTACCATGGATCAATTAAAAATAAGCAACCACTATAAAAATTGAATAGGTTATGATTTTTTTTAGTTAATTAACTACTAAATATAACATAAAAGAATCCATCTTCTTCTTATTCTAAATGAAGAAGTTATCTTAGATGGGTTGTTGGGTTTAAACAACATTTAGGATCTTTATTTTTTTAAAATTATAAATAAGTATAAAACTAATATTTAATGTAAAGAATTGAAAAGAAAAACTAAATAGAAATTAGTTTCTTTACTTTCAATGTTTATGTTCTTTTTTCCTATTAGGAATTAATTGCACGTTCTCATTTGCGATAATTAATATAACTATGTTATCAAATTTTCCATTTAGAAAACTTATTTAATATTCAAAGTTTTAATTGCCCATTAATGACTATATACTTTAGATATAACAATGAGAATAAATTAGTAAGAGTTTGATTAAGGCAATGATTAGTCAATTATCAATATTGCCTTTTAAGGATATTTATTCAAGTGCTAATTGACTTGGGATAAGAATAACTAAGTTAGTTTTTTCCAACATAAAATTAGTTAATGCATTCAAAAAATTCGTATAATTTTTCTAAACTTTTTATTCTGTTTATACATAAATTAATTTTATTTTGTAAAGAAACTCGCTTATTTTTTTATTTATTTTTATCGAAAAATACTCAGAAAAAACTTGTTTAAAACCAGGTAATATTAAATTATCAATTCTATTTTCATTTTATGAAATGTAATGTTACCTTCGTGTACTTTTCTTTAAACGACCGAGTTATATGTAACAGCCGTAACTTATTACACATTTTGATCAAGACAAATATATACCTTTACTTAAATAATTATTAAATAATAAATAAATTTAGAAAAATTAATAATTAATCACTATATTAATCATATATTTATTTATAAACATAATTATATATTATTTTATAAACTAGAAATTATTAATATTTGAAATAATATTTATTATTTATAAAAAAATATAATTAATTTGTGAATTGAAGTCCAAATAATTTTTAACATTAATTATTAAAGCTTTTAAAAATAAAGAATTTATAATTAATAATAATAGTTAGTTAAAACATTAATAACTAATGTTATAGATTAATTTAAATTCTAATCTATTAACTAATTATAATATTTATTAATAATAAAGATTATTTTATATACCAATAAATTTTAGAGTTTGTAAAATGGTGTATAATTTAGTTGATATAATGACTAATTATTTTGGTTTATAAATTTAAGGTTAAACCCATTCGAAGGTCTCTATTTTCGTGGGGTTGTCCCAGTTACATCCCTGTCTTCTCATTTTTGTCAATTTGATCATTTTTATTGAATAATTGACTCAATTGAGTCCTTGCCGTTAAATCAACTTAACCCCGTTAAGTTTTTTATTACCTGTGAGGGTGACGTGGATGTAATTTTAGACGTGGCTTGCAGAGAGCGTTATACGTGGTTTTTCATAATCATGTGGCATTTTCCTAAAAGAACATTTTAAAAATTGGGGTTTTTCTGAAACATTTTATGATTCTCGCAATTGCTCGAGGAGGAGAAACGAAGGCGTTGGAGCTCTCACGGCGTGGTCTCGCGACGACGCAAGGAGTTCGCGATTCTCGCGGCGGCGCTAACCTGGAACACCCTCTAGCAATTTCAATCAACCNGGAAAAACAAAATAAAATGAACTTATTTTATCTTTTTCATTTTTGTTTTAGCACATTTTATTGTGTATTTTTATTTTTATTTCTTCTATGCTTTGCATCAACGTAGAAGTCTGTCAGGCTTGTTACTCAGTTAAGGTCATTATGGGAGTTCAATTAGAATCTGAAACTTCTTCAAGAATGGTGTCATCCTTAACTGAAATAGGTATACTGCATCTTGTGGAGAAAGGCGTATAAGAGTACATACAGCAGCAGTTCCAGTAGTTAAAGACTTGGTAGAGATGTATCGCTTGGCTGATACTGGTGCAATTTTATCTCTGTTTAGTAGGCTGGGTAGGGTGACATGACTTTTATTCTAGTTACATCATATGTATGGATCATAGATTCATAGTTTCTTTCATCTTCCTAAGCAGTTTCTTATATTTGCAGCAATTGAGAAAACATTATCCCATAAACTTGAAGATGCCCGGTGTGCTGTACATTTAGGAATTGTGAAAGGCCTCCGAGATTATCGAAATATCTATGCTGGGCAACAGCGCTTGGTGAATAGGATGATATATCCTGAGTCATTAAAGTTCCTACCCATGTATGGTTTAGCTCTTTGTAGATCAGCACCTCTCCGTGGTGGATATGGGGATGTTTCATTAGATGAACGGTGTGCAGCTGGACACACAATGATGACCCTAACAGTAAAAAGGATGTTGAAACTTCTCTACCCTAGTTTGCATCGACTTGACGAATATCTTCTAAATGTATGCCTTTACTGCCTCTGAAAACTTATGGCGAAAATGGTTTAAATGTCTGCTCCTTGAATTATTTTTGTCTGTGTTTATGTTCAGGCTGGTGATTTGAAAAAAATTGATAGAAGGTTACCTTTGACTAGGGAGAGCTTGGATTCTAGGGGCCTTTATATATATGACGATGGCTTCCAGTTCATTTTATGGTTTGGTAGAGTGATTTCACCTGACATAGCTAAGAACTTACTTGGGTCTAACTTTGCAGCAGAGTTTTCAAAGGTACTGTATATTCAATAAAGACTAGGAGAAAGCGCAGTACAGGGGTTTATTATTCTTGTCATTTTAAGTTCTTTTGTTTCTTAAAACTTTCGTGTTTATCTCATCTTTTTCTAATTTCTTCATAAGTGTTTTTGGTTCTTCATTAAGGATTGTTAATTTCAAATTATTCTCTCTGCAATCTGATGCATGCACATGTATATATGATTGTTGAATTATAAACAATCATTATTATATCGAGCTTGCTTGGTAGTTTTAGAATAATTGATACTTGAAANTTCATTTTATGGTTTGGTAGAGTGATTTCACCTGACATAGCTAAGAACTTACTTGGGTCTAACTTTGCAGCAGAGTTTTCAAAGGTACTGTATATTCAATAAAGACTAGGAGAAAGCGCAGTACATGGGTTTATTATTCTTGTCATTTTAAGTTCTTTTGTTTCTTAAAACTTTCGTGTTTATCTCATCTTTTTCTAATTTCTTCATAAGTGTTTTTGGTTCTTCATTAAGGATTGTTAATTTCAAATTATTCTCTCTGCAATCTGATGCATGCACATGTATATATGATTGTTGAATTATAAACAATCATTATTATATCGAGCTTGCTTGGTAGTTTTAGAATAATTGATACTTGAAAAATTATTGATGTGTTCTTGCATTTGAGCTGAAAAGTATATTGTATGTGAACCTTGAGATATATGACGGGAGTGTTCAATACATAAATTTAGTATGCATTTCTCAGTGCTGCAGCTTCATGATCAAAAATATGAATTCATAGTTGATTTTGTGTTAAATTTGTCCCTTAGATGGTTTAGACTTACGCCAGTGTTGATTGATATCCTATTTAATAATTTTGCAGACTTCTGATGTATTCCTCCCCTTTTTCTCTCGTTCAATAACATGTGGCATCTATTTTCAATTGTATATATGTTTTATTTCCTTGAACAGGTTACTCTAAATGAGAATGAGAATGATACTGAAATGTCTCGGAGGCTGATAAAGGTACTTGAGAAGCTCAGAAGTACTGACCGTGCATATTACCAGTTGTGCCGCCTTGTGAGGCAAGGTGAACACCCCAGAGAAGGATTCCTTCTTCTTTCAAACCTGTTTGAGGACCAGTTGGGTGCTAATAATGGATATGCTGATTGGATGATACAGATTTCCAGACAAGTGCAACAAACATAATATAGAGGTACTGATTCTAATCTTCTGTAAGGAAGCTTCAATTAAAGCTGGTGATTTTCATGCGGGCAATCAATATTCACCATCGATTTTTACCTTGAATATTTCTCATCCTCTGGTAATTGTCCCTCTTATAGTGCCCAGTCATAATCAACAGTACGTAGACTGTGAAGCAGTTTACATTATATATCCTTTGAATGAAATTTGGATCACCTAAATCTCGCCTAAATGGAATCTCAAAAAAACAGAGAAACAGGATCCTTTGATGTTTTACATAGGGGGAAACATTATATAGAATTTAGTACGAAAGAATTGTAGTATGTGTATACATTTAGGCAGGTTAATCAAGTGAGAACCTGAGAAGTGAGAAGAGTTTAATATTAAGTATTTAAACACACATAAATGGTAAAGATTGTTAATACTTAAATGAATTCAAGATTGGTCATTTATTTGAGATTGAACAGTCGAATTTATTTCCTCTCGGGCTGTCACTTCTCCTCACATTCACATACATTACGTAGTTTCTACCCAATTTGAGATTGATAGCTATATTGACTTGAACATAATCATATATCTCCTTTATGTAGTGATTACCTTGTGAACATTTTCTATGGCTTAATATGGTGGTTTTTTTTTGTCAGGATTGTTACGTGTATCGTAATTGAAGGAATTTTTCGTTTCTTCATTAGAAATAAATTGAGTTTATGCATGGGATGCATTACAAGCGTGGATGCTTGACTAGGCTAATTGGTCGTTAGAAGGATGTTTCATGGACACTGCAAGTTCGACCTGGAATGTATCAATTAGGTGAACTGTAACTTAGTGATTAGATTCAAAGTGTTTTTCTTTCCTAGGAATAGAAAATAAAACTCTTTTGGATAGGTTGCAGTTATCTGAGGTATAATTTCATTTTTTAATTCAAATTGTTTTTTGGCTAGGGAGAGTAAACACAGAGAGAGAAGTCAAGTCAAAATCAGTGCTAATTCTTGAATTTTGTTTGCTGGTAATTTTTATTTATTCTGATATTCAGATTTTGGAACTATTCTCTTCCAAATCATCATTTTACCTTTGTCAGCAAACTTTCGTTTTCGCACCATTTTTTTTCACTCCTGGGGGTTGTCTGTAATATTGGCAAATATGAAAAGTAAAAGTTATAAAATTAGTTGGACGTTATTTTGTAGATAAAAATAAATATAGTAATTATATTTTTACATTTTTAGTAAATTTTGATTTCTTATTTGTTTTGATTAAAAAATAAATATTTTATTAAAAATAAAAATTAGACGGTAAAATCAGTATTATGATTAAAACGAGTATTATAATATTGAGGAAGAAATATATAGAATTATCTGCACCATTGTATAATGCATACCTTTTTTATAACTTTCTTTGGTGTTCACTTTTATTAGACTATTAAGACTTCCTAGTTTTCCATGAAGAGTTTTTTTTTAAAGTATTGAGATAAAAAAAACAATAACAATAAAAATGTAATTTATTAGGAAAATGACATAATCAAAATTCAAACTCTGGACCACTCAATTGACTAACTCAAACACAAGTGAGTACCATTTATACTTATGTCAACAACCAACATTGATAAGTTCAAATGTATTTTTAAAAAAAATCTATTATCAAAAAATGGAATAATCGAGAAATTTGTTTAAAAAAACACAATACCAAAATTACGGAAAAGTTCATTTATTATTAGTCAGTAACTTCAAAAAATACACTTGGGTCCTGGTTATCATTTTCTTATAAGAGATTGATCAATTCTTTTATATGACACTTTATAGTTTCAATACAATACTATTCTTTTCTTATTTGCCTTTATTAAATATTACGAGTACATGTGTATTTTATTAATGAATTGTAGAGAAATAATTTTAAAGTTCATTGGTAACGAGTGTATAAATGTGGTCAATTGGTATCATTTAAAAAAACAAATTCCACATAATTAGTCTTATTCATATTAGTGATTCTGTTAAAAAACTTATTGTTGTTATTAAGAACTAGAAACACTATATTTTATATGAAAAAATATCTCAAATTATACACATTATTTGTGGAGGCAATGACACCACATCTCAACTTCCACAATTATTTAATGCATTGCGAATCCAAAAATGTGTTAATTTGTCTTGATTCAGTGTTGCTTATGAATAAAATATCTGCACATTGAATTTCTCAACTCCAAAATTGGATTAAATTGCAAAGATAATGAGCAAGTATAACTAATACACTTATGTTATTATAAATAATTATTATCCAAATATTGAATGTTGAAATTGTGTACCATGGATCAATTAAAAATAAGCAACCACTATAAAAATTGAATAGGTTATGATTTTTTTTAGTTAATTAACTACTAAATATAACATAAAAGAATCCATCTTCTTCTTATTCTAAATGAAGAAGTTATCTTAGATGGGTTGTTGGGTTTAAACAACATTTAGGATCTTTATTTTTTTAAAATTATAAATAAGTATAAAACTAATATTTAATGTAAAGAATTGAAAAGAAAAACTAAATAGAAATTAGTTTCTTTACTTTCAATGTTTATGTTCTTTTTTCCTATTAGGAATTAATTGCACGTTCTCATTTGCGATAATTAATATAACTATGTTATCAAATTTTCCATTTAGAAAACTTATTTAATATTCAAAGTTTTAATTGCCCATTAATGACTATATACTTTAGATATAACAATGAGAATAAATTAGTAAGAGTTTGATTAAGGCAATGATTAGTCAATTATCAATATTGCCTTTTAAGGATATTTATTCAAGTGCTAATTGACTTGGGATAAGAATAACTAAGTTAGTTTTTTCCAACATAAAATTAGTTAATGCATTCAAAAAATTCGTATAATTTTTCTAAACTTTTTATTCTGTTTATACATAAATTAATTTTATTTTGTAAAGAAACTCGCTTATTTTTTTATTTATTTTTATCGAAAAATACTCAGAAAAAACTTGTTTAAAACCAGGTAATATTAAATTATCAATTCTATTTTCATTTTATGAAATGTAATGTTACCTTCGTGTACTTTTCTTTAAACGACCGAGTTATATGTAACAGCCGTAACTTATTACACATTTTGATCAAGACAAATATATACCTTTACTTAAATAATTATTAAATAATAAATAAATTTAGAAAAATTAATAATTAATCACTATATTAATCATATATTTATTTATAAACATAATTATATATTATTTTATAAACTAGAAATTATTAATATTTGAAATAATATTTATTATTTATAAAAAAATATAATTAATTTGTGAATTGAAGTCCAAATAATTTTTAACATTAATTATTAAAGCTTTTAAAAATAAAGAATTTATAATTAATAATAATAGTTAGTTAAAACATTAATAACTAATGTTATAGATTAATTTAAATTCTAATCTATTAACTAATTATAATATTTATTAATAATAAAGATTATTTTATATACCAATAAATTTTAGAGTTTGTAAAATGGTGTATAATTTAGTTGATATAATGACTAATTATTTTGGTTTATAAATTTAAGGTTAAACCCATTCGAAGGTCTCTATTTTCGTGGGGTTGTCCCAGTTACATCCCTGTCTTCTCATTTTTGTCAATTTGATCATTTTTATTGAATAATTGACTCAATTGAGTCCTTGCCGTTAAATCAACTTAACCCCGTTAAGTTTTTTATTACCTGTGAGGGTGACGTGGATGTAATTTTAGACGTGGCTTGCAGAGAGCGTTATACGTGGTTTTTCATAATCATGTGGCATTTTCCTAAAAGAACATTTTAAAAATTGGGGTTTTTCTGAAACATTTTATGATTCTCGCAATTGCTCGAGGAGGAGAAACGAAGGCGTTGGAGCTCTCACGGCGTGGTCTCGCGACGACGCAAGGAGTTCGCGATTCTCGCGGCGGCGCTAACCTGGAACACCCTCTAGCAATTTCAATCAACCCCATATCATCAAGGTTCGCGCAGTTACCAACAGACAAAGACGGAAGCCCATGGCAGAGAAAATCCGAAGCGATCTATGCAAGGGTTTCATCAATTAGGGTTTCATATTGGCAAGGGGAAAACACTCTGTTGCTTCTGCGGCGGCTGCTCGCGTTCTGTCATGGCTTCAGTGAATTGGACTGGTGTTGATGGTTTCTTAGGTGACGTGATTGTGGTTTGATTGGTTGCCATGGTTGTCGAATGAAGGTTTGAGTGGCGCGAGATGGAGAAGAGGGGTAGACGAAATTTGCGCTTAGGGTTCTTCGTAGGGTTTGATTTGGGGTTCTTGGGCTGTTGCGCGAATTTGCTTTTCTCTGGTCTCGATTTCTGATGCAGGTTGTGCGAAGGAGATGACGGCCATGGGAGGAGTTTCGCGTCTTTTGGTTCATGATGAAGATGGTGATTTTTGGTTGTTGATGTGGAGGCGCAATTCTAGGTTGGTTTTTGTTTGCAGGTGAATCTGGGCTTGATGATGAACGCAGAACGGAGATGTTTCCATGGTTGACGTCCTGCCAATTTGAAGCTTCGGATTTTCTCTTCTCAATTCAAACTTTAATTAACCCTAATTTTTTAAATGTTTCATTTAGAAAATGCCACATACAAGGGTTTCATTAATAAAAAGCCACGTATAAGGGTCTGTGCACGCCACGTCTGCAAAATTATCCACGTCACCCTCACAGGTTAGCAAAATCTTAACCACGTTAAGTTGATTTAACGGCAGGGACCCAATTGATTCAATTTTTCAATATTAAAGACTTAATTGGCAAAACTTAAAAGACAGAGATGTAACTGGGACAATCCCACGAAAATGGAGACCTTCGAATGGGTTTAACCTAAATTTAATTATTATTTAATATTTTTTATAGTATGTTATTAACATTTATTTTTATAATATTATTATATCAATTATATTATCATTATTTTTATTATTTTATACAGTCTCCATAATCTTTCTATCTATTAATTAGAATTTATGTGTTCACTCAAAATTTCCAAATTTTACACATAACCTATCTAAATATCTGTTTCTTAACAGCATGAATCCACTTATACTAAGCATTACAACCATCCCATTTTCTATTTATCACCTAATATGATAACTATTTAAAAATAACATAAAATGCATGTGAATAAAACTTAATTAACTCTCTTTTAATTAATATATGACTATCAACCTCAAACAAGATAACATTACCCTACTAACAGACATGTAAACGTATTTCCAACACTTTAGGTCAATAGTTAACAGCAGACTGTATTATGTTTTATAACCTATGTAGAATGAAACTTCATAAGTATATAAATGTTTAAATAAATTTAAATACTGATGCATGCAGCATGTTTTCCAAAGGAACAGACAGAATTTGGAGTCTTTGTTGTGTTGTTGGTATATGTATATATATTTATATATTATTTTTCTTCCCTTAGATATTGGTTTTAAGTCTGCATAATTGGTTTTAACAGCATGTTTGGATGAACAGAAGTGAGCATGTGAGTGATGGACTATATAAAGAAGTTTTTGAAGCATATTTAAAGTTTGCACATGATTCATGCAGGCTGATATGCAATTAGGCAAATAAGTCAGCTCATTTATTAGCTGCTCTGTCTTTTGGTAAATCTTGGACAAACCACTCAAAAGAGGTGCCTAATCTCCCTTTGACTCTTTTTGATCTTTGATTTTTCTGTTGTCATTTATCCTCTTTTCAAATTAATGTTGTTGGAATCACTGTTCAATATTAAATGTACCTTAACCAAAATTATACTATCAATAAACAAAAAATTAATAACTATACTGATTAAATGATCTCTTAAAACAACCAGTTTTTTCTTTTTTTTCTATGTATGGAGAGTTGAAAAAGGTGAGACAGAAGAAGTGAGGAGTAGTTAGAGGGAGCATTGTTCTGCATGAATAATTAATTGCTTGAGTTTTGAGAAAAATTAGTTGTTGACTATGAAGAAGAAGAGCTTTATGTGTACAAAAATATAATTAATGGATTATTTGACTATTATAACCGCCCAATAAGTGGTCATGATTCAGACATGCAGCACCGTCCTAGACCTACAACAACTACACACCAATGCTCCTTTTCACTTTTATTTTACCTTTTCTTCAAAATTTATATGCTATTGCTACAATCATTTACAGTAAGATTATAGCTTTTTACAAATTTTATTGGAAATGTTATGCTGTCAACAAGAAAAATTGTTTTTCTCTTTCTGTCATGTTAATTACAGCATATTACTTACTAGAGTACGATGTTCTTTTTTATATGTATATATTATAAACTTTAAATGTACCACACATGATGCATTGAATAGCTTTGTCGTGATTTTGTTATGCAATTCTATTTAAATAATTAGGAAGTCAAAATATATAAATTTGTATATTTCAAATGTCAATATTCTAAGAGCAAAGTTAATTTGATGTTTCATTCAACATTAAAAAATTATCTAATTAGACGTTTCAAATGCATATTCTAATGTATAATTTTAAAATATATCATAACTATTGGAAGTTCTATAGTTATTAGAAATGAAGCCAATTACAAGAGAATCTCATTTTATAAATTAATTTTATGATATTGAATTAGGTTTTCATTTTAATAAACAAAATCTTAAATTTTAATTCAAGTTAAAGAGTCAAAAGTAGACAAACTTTTCTATTTCAAATGTCAATTTCCTAAAAGCAAAGTTAAATGGGCACTTCACTTTATAAAATAACATGAAATTCTCAAAGTAAAACTATAATAGTATTTTCATCCATATAATTTTAGTTATTGAGGTAGATATTACTAGTATTATTATAACATTTTTAGTTCTTGGTTAGATTTAGTACATTTAATTTGAAATTATTACTCATTTTTTATACAAATTTTAAACGACCTATTTTTCTCCTAGTTAAACTTACTAGTATTTTAAATATTTTGGCAAAAAAATTATAAATTGTTCTAATCCTAAATTTGTCAAATAATATAATTAAATTCATCGTCACACATACGAAAGTTAAGAGGAATAATTAGTCATATTTAATGAGGGTTTAAAAAACTAATAGATTTTGTTAGAATCTCGTTATCAGTCTAAAGTGGATATCAATATTTTGATTTAAGTTTGTAGAGTGACATTATTAAGGTCACACTAAATATCTCAAACATTCCACATTAGATAGTGAATTTCTGTTATAATTTTGTCTTTAAAAAGTAGTTCGTAATAAGATTGGAATGAGAAAAAAATATTTAAATTCTGAATTGAGTTAGTAAAAATATAAATAAAAGTACAACTTTGTTTTAATTTTTTTTATAATTGAATCTTATATATATATATATATATATATATATATATATATATATTATATTACTTTTCACATGATGCTTGATATATTTTTATTTGGAATTAAACATTTTTTGATGTATTAAAGTTTCACTAATTAAGCTTTTTGTGGACAAAAATGTTATGATTTTATTTTTTATATATTAGTTATATTCATTTTTGTAATTACTTTATAATATTTATTTTAGTATATACAATTCTTTACTAATTTTTTTAGATAATATATTTTATTTTATCCTTTTTTTTTGTAAACATTTTTTAATTCACTTTTATAATCATTTTACAACAGTTACTATTTACTAATTTTATTATTTTTTAGTATATTTTATTTTATTATTATTTTAAATATATTTTTAAATTTAATTATTTGTCTCTAATAATAAATTATATAATAATTTTTTATTATTTATAAGCAAAAGATAAATTTACGTACATGTGATTCTATTACTATATAATGTGTTTCTACTACTCTATACTAATAATAATTACTTTTAAATAAATTATCCACGTTAATTCCGAATTTTGAATATGCAGCTGCATTTAAATAATTTTCTCATAATTTCTAAAAGTTCCAAACGTAGAATAATAATCGAAATCATGTCATGCATTATATGTTTTTTTCAAACAAAAGATTTTCTGAAAAAAAATTTACAAGCATAGAAATTTAATAATAGTCCTATTTATATATTATAATGGTGATATTTTTTCAATTTTACTGATATTTTAGTAATTTTTATTTATATAATATGATAATGAGATATGTTTGAGTTTACTGTTATTCATAACTTCTCTATGCTTAGAAAATTATTGTAAGAGATGAAAACAAAATAAAAACATTACACTACTATTATGATTAGCAATTAAAATTAGTAATAAAACAACAATATTCTATCTTTCTTCTTTTGAATTTTTAAATAAATTTATTCAAACATGTAAAACAGTTAATAAAACAGTTACTATTTATTCAAAAGTATTTTTCTTTTAAAAGAACAACAAAAATACTTATAAATTTATTGCCTTAATTTAATATTTTGAAAAGCATCAGTTAATAATAAGGAAATAAATTACAAATTTATTATTTTATGATTTTTATTAATTTTGAGAGATTAATTATTTTAGAGAATAATCCAACTCTTAATATTAATTTAACTTACCATTTAATTTTAGAGATTAAATTAATTTGTGGTAAACACTATTTGATTGCTTTATTAATTTCATTAACCCATTCTACTTATAATGATTCTTTTGAAAATTAAAAACTAAATAAACTATAAATCTTTATTTAGTTAAAACTCTCACACTATTTTATTATGAAAGGAACCCACATCTTTATTTATTTATTGCATTGATCTTATTCAATGCTGATAGTGTTTAAAACATCAAAATACATGTCAATAAAAAATAAACAAAATTAATTAGACTTTATCTAATCACTTTAATTATTAACTAAATTTATGAAGACTTAAAAGTTACATAAAAAAATATGAAGAATGTATAACTGTAAATTTTGTCCACATAAATATTCTAAGACAAATTATTGAGCTCACTGATTTATTTGACATGCTAATTTGAGAACAAAATAATAATATAAATTATTAAAGTGTCTATTCATTTGTTTGTAATTTTTCACGTGTCGTTGTAAATATTATAAATATATATGATTTTTGGAACTATAAAAAAACGAGAGCACTAAAGAAGGCGCCTAAAACACACATGCCGCGGTGGCCAATTAATAGTTGTTACCATTTCAATACAGTGAGTTTGAACTTTGAAGTTTGAACGGTCAAAAGTGATGGGAAAACTAGGTTACATTTTTCTATATTTTATTTACTCCAAAATACACAATTATTTAATTATTTAATTAATTATTTAATTAATAATAAATAAATAAATAGTTAGAATGGGTTGGTTTTCTTCTTTGACTGTCACCAGCGCATTATAGCACACCACACAAAAAAGCAGAGAACAACTGTTACTCACACAAATCCAAACACGCCATGGGTATGCCTCTCATGGATCTAACCCTCTCTTCCTTCTAACCGCCCTTTTCGCCTCCTTCTTTTCCATTCCAAACTCTAGATTCCTTATCTCTCTATTTTCTCCTCTTCATTTTCTTCCTCTTCCGTCGAACTTTTCTTTTCTCCGACGTCGCTGCTTTTCTTTCTGCTTTTCCTGTGTTTTGAACGCTCTGCGTTTGTTAATTTTGTTTTGTGTGTTCGGATCGTGTTATTTCACCTTCAGTTGCGGGGATCTTCGGTTTAGGTTTGTTTAGGGATTTTTTTTTTGTTGCCTGTTTCTGTTTCTGTTGGAGTTTTCGGATGGATTTGTGGCGTTCTGTGAGATTGATGGAGTTTTATGTTGCTTTAATGTTTTCCTTTTTCACATAATGGATATTTATTTATGGACAAAAGGGATTTGCGTTTTTTGTTTCTTTAATTCGTTTTCGAACGGTGCTACTTTCCTATTTGGTTCAGTTTTTATTATGTCTGTTGATTCCAGTTTTAATGCTTAAATTAAAAAAAAAAAGTTGTCCATTTTTTTTAATTATGGTGTGATTGTTCATTCTGGCAGGTGTATGAGTGGTTTTTGAGCAGAAGTTAACGGAGAAAGGGATTCAGTGAAGATGACATCCGTTGGTGTGGCGCCAACTTCGGGTTTGAGAGAAGCTAGTGGGCATGGAGCAGCAGGTGTTGATAGGTTGCCGGAGGAGATGAACGATATGAAAATTAGGGATGATAGAGTATGAATATTTGCACCTTTTTCTTATTTTAGCTTTATTTCAGGAATGTCTTTGTGGTTGATTTTGAATTCAAGCTAAGTTACTTTCAATTTTCTTCGTCTTTTAGGAAATGGAAGCCACTGTTGTTGATGGCAATGGAACGGAGACCGGACATATCATCGTGACTACCATTGGGGGTAGAAATGGTCAGCCGAAGCAGGTATACGTTCTCTCTTAATTTTTCTACTGTCTGTTAAATGTGTACGTGCCATCTCACTTGCTGTGTTTACCATGAAAGGCTGTAAACAATCAATGCTCCAGTTTCATATATTATTTATGCAAATGTTTTCTCAATTTCTATAGCTGCTGTGATTTAGAATATTGATATTTGAATTGAGAATGATTGTGTTTGACCTTGAAGTCAAAAAATGAAAAAATAATTCTCAAAATTTGGCTATGATGCCGAGTCACTGTTTGCTGACTATAATCTTTTTATGTCCATTCCCATAACTTCTTGCTGTGTGCAACTTGTTTTGTCGTGTCTTACCTGGTTGGCGATATCATTGCTGTCTGGTTTCATGAAGCTCATGATGCTATTGGATAGGATGAGAATGCCGTGATCTTGTGATGCACCTTTTTACGGTGTCTTACATAACTCCTTGCTGTGACGTGTTTTGTCGCTTCTTTTGATTGGCGATTATTCTTGCCAATTGGTTTCATGATATTGTTGGATAGGATGATAGTGCCCCGATGTAGTTTGTGATATTCTATTTAACAGTCTACTGTACTCCTCGCCACTTTTTTCTATGTATGTTTATTACTTCAACATAAATTTATATCCTTGTTAATATTTCAGACTATAAGCTACATGGCAGAACGTGTTGTAGGTCATGGATCGTTTGGTGTTGTCTTCCAGGTAAAATCATGTTTATAGTTGACTAAATGAGATGCGTTTCTTTAGCCTTTTTAACTCAATTGAAGATAATTGTTCCCTTAGTTCTGACATTGTGTATGATTATAGGCTAAGTGCTTGGAAACTGGTGAAACCGTGGCTATCAAAAAGGTTCTTCAAGACAAGAGGTACAAGAATCGGGAGCTGCAAACAATGCGCCTTCTTGACCACCCAAATGTTGTCTCTTTGAAGCACTGTTTCTTTTCAACAACTGAAAAGGATGAACTCTACCTTAATTTGGTACTTGAGTATGTTCCTGAAACAGTTAATCGTGTGATCAAACATTACAACAAGTTGAACCAAAGGATGCCTCTGATATATGTGAAACTCTATACATACCAGGTATGCTTGTTGTCCTTCCTGAATTCAGCTTTCATCTATGTTCAGGCTTTAACAATAATTTTGATATATTGCAGATCTTTAGGGCATTATCTTATATTCATCGTTGTATTGGAGTTTGCCATCGGGATATCAAGCCTCAAAATCTATTGGTATGGCCTTTGTTTGGTTATTTATCTGGATTTTATTTTGGTTCTCATGCTTCATAGCTATGGTTGTGTTTAGGGTGGCTAAAAGATAGGAAATGACGAATTGAAACTCTGATGATTGGACTGTTAGGTGGAAGATACTAATTGGATGTTTTTCTGCGCAGGTCAATCCACACACACACCAGGTTAAATTATGTGACTTTGGAAGTGCAAAGGTTTTGGTATGTTACATATATATCTCTGCTTTTCTGCCTCTTCCTCAAATAATTTCTTTTCATTTAAACTTCTTTTTTCCTGAGCTAGTGATAGGGAATAGCAGCTAGATTGTCAGCTTTATTTTTCCTTACTTAGTTTGGACTTTGACAGGTAAAAGGCGAACCAAATATATCATACATATGTTCTAGATATTACAGAGCACCTGAGCTTATATTTGGAGCAACTGAATATACTACAGCCATTGACATCTGGTCTGTTGGATGTGTCTTAGCTGAGCTGCTGCTTGGACAGGTTGGTGGCTGTTGCTGTGATCTCTTTTACTTTTGTGGTTTAGCATATTTAACTAAAATCAATATTTTCTTTTTACACAGCCTTTGTTCCCTGGTGAGAGTGGAGTTGATCAGCTTGTTGAGATTATAAAGGTAATCTTCTGATGTTTAACTTGTTTCACTACTGTTGTACATGTTTCTTATTTGCAAATGTTTCGAACTGTCAATCTCATTTTTCTGTAGTTTTTAATATTGAAATGACCTATTTGATGATTTGATCCATTATACAGGCATGTGAATGATACCATTTGTTGTTTGTGTTGATAGGTTCTCGGCACTCCAACAAGGGAAGAGATTAAATGCATGAACCCTAACTATACAGAATTTAAATTCCCACAGATTAAAGCACATCCATGGCACAAGGTATCCCAAATAAATTTAATAGCATTTCATGCTTTATTCTTGAGCTCATCATATTAACGCATTTAAAAATCTTTATTGAACACTGTACTAACATATATTTGATGTTTTTCTTCTACTAGATCTTCCACAAGCGCATGCCTCCAGAGGCTGTTGATCTGGTATCAAGACTACTACAATACTCCCCTAACTTGCGGTGCACAGCTGTGAGTATCTAACTTGTCAAACGTTTAGTATCTCACTTTAGGAAAAATATAGCATTGGTTCCCTCTTTCAGATAATAGTTTTGCAAGATTCTGTTTGGCAATGACTGTTTTTCATCTTCTGATAATGTCTGTGTAATTTGAGATTTTGCTTTATGTGGTTCAGTTAGATGCTCTGACGCATCCTTTCTTTGATGAGCTTCGTGATCCAAATACTCGCTTGCCAAATGGCCGATTCCTTCCACCACTATTTAATTTTAAATCTCATGGTATGTTGACTTTGGAATAGGCTATTGTGTTTGTGACTCCGCTCGTTTTTTCTTTTCATTAAATAGTTTTTTGCTGAATTTTTGTATGTTATCTGTGCATGTGTACCAGAACTGAAAGGAGTCCCAGCTGAGATTTTGGTGAAATTGGTTCCAGAACATGCGAGGAAGCAATGCCCGTTTCTTGGCTTGTGAAAGTTTAACAGAACTTCAAGTGTTTCCGTATGAGAATGCTGCGCTTTCTTCTATTTGATGATATGATATGATATTTGTTGGTATCTTTATTGTATTCGGTTGCCCTGTAAAAGCAGATCTAGAGATACATGCTACTCCTTATTACCCAACCCCCGAAGGGTATGCAGAATACCCTGTTTCCTGTATCACAGCAGATTGTAACATACAATAGAAGACAAATGTCTGCAATTATCTAAATGTGGCATCAGTATTTGTATTTGTTGAGACAATGATGGGTTGTTTAATTTAGTTAATGCTTAACGTGGTGGTTGGAAGTTGTAGTGGCCTTGTCTGTGCATTGTTTATTTTCCATTCTTTAGGTAGTCTCTGGCCGAACGACATGGGACGAAGTCTCGGGCTTGTCTTCAATGAATTGGCTCGATTGACAAATATTAAACGTAGTAAGTGAAAGCGATATTTCTCATAGTTTAATCAAACAGTTAGAATAGAAGACTGGCTCTTTGTTTATTTTCTATTCGAGGCTGAGGTGTCTGAGTGGACTGATGCGGACACTGAAAAAAGAATTTGGATGTGTCTCTTGCCATATGTACAAAGAATATATACAAGAATATATACAAGCGCGTTCTGGTAAGTCACAATTTGCTTTGTTGTTTTATTCTCTCTTTCCCCTACGTTAAGAATATCTTCGTCAACGGAGGCTATATTTTCCATGAGGCATTTTCATGTTAATAGCTATTCTTTAACAACTTTGAATCTCAGTATTCATCAGCTACTTTGGTTAAGGGGTCTAACGTCAATTTGGTTGTTTCTGTCGTTGGCTTCTTTCTTAGCATATGGGATGACTATTGACCACTATTTTCTTGCATCTAATTTTTTGTCTCTAATGATGTAAAAGTGAAAGTAAGTTTTCATTTTATAGATTAGAATAATTTTTTCATCGTAATCATATGTTTCCCGTTCTTTTTTTAATATAAAGTCAAGCAAAATATCTTTACTCTTTATGTAACTCTAATCAGAGGATTTTTTTTATTCAGATTCCTTGGTTATTTATTAAAAACTCAAATTTCAATCAATAGAAAGTGCAATGAAATATTTTATAAATCACTTGCTAGAAAACGTTTTATTATCTAAACTAATTTTTAATGTATATTTTAAATAAAATAATTTTATTCCGTGTTTTTCATTCAACGTAAATTTAGATATTTTGATAAGATAAATTATAAGCTAATCAAATAAATTATAAGTTGGCTGATATAAACAGTCAAACATGTTTTTCGATAAATATTAGTAAATAATACATTATATTATAAATAGAAATTCCAAAACCTAGCTATCATTTTCTCCAAAAAGATATATAAAATATAATGTGTTTCGTTAATAAATATAAATAATTTATTACATTTCTAGTTAATATATAATTAGAAAAATACTAAAAGTCGGTGGCCAAGCCGTAGAGATATGGAGAAGTTTCCGTGAAATTTAATTTATCTACTTGATCTCGCTTATAATAAAATAATAGAATTTGTTAATTTATTTAGACTGAAAGCGAAGGTGGTGGTTGAGTAAGTGCGAGGGTGAAGATGCCAGCAAGAAAATATTACTGCGACTACTGTGACAAGCAATTCCAAGACACACCAGCTGATCGGAAACGACACGTTAATGGTATTCAACACCTCCAAGCCAAAGCTCGCTGGTACGATTCCTTCAATCAACACCACCAACAAATCCCTAATCCTCCCCTTTGCTTTCACTTCCTAAACACGGTACGTTTCCTTACGTTACCACTTCTCTTCCTTTTTCAATTTTCATTTCTCATACACTCTCTCTATTTTAGGGTTTTTGCCGTTACGGCCACTCTTGCAAGTACCTTCATCCCACTCCCAACAATACTACACAGCACGCTCCAATTCCCTTACCAGGTAATTAACCAATCGCTTATCACTTTCTGCCCTTCAGTTCGTCTCCTATATGAAAGTTAGTCAAACAACAACTACAACTAATTTTACGAATACGTCGTTTAATGATGTACAAATATTATATATATGTGCAATTCTGCATGCAGGGAATGTGGTAGGAGTGTCATTGGGAAATTTGCCCCCGTCGTTGCAGCCTCCGCCGGAGGCTGGATATCCCCATCTCCCCTTTGTGGATTGGGGATAGATTTGCAGCTATTGAGTCCCTGTGTGTAGGGAAGAACTCTGTTCATTTTTCTTTGTTATTATTATTATATTATTATTTAACTTTTTATCTCCCATCACATAACCCCACAACTTATTTGGAGTTTTCATGTATCAAACGCTATCCAAATCTATCTTAATGTTCAATCAATACTAATATAATATAATTTGATAGTGGACCGCTGATTTTGCTTTGGCACATTACCAAGTTAAAGGCATGCCAGCTTCTTCATTTGTAAGCATTCTCCACCTCATTATTATCTAAATATTATAGCTTGAGGACAAAATACTTCTGATTGATGTCTAATTAATCTTTCAAATTACATTTTAATAATAAAACAATCCTACGAAACTTAATAGGAAGATGCAGTCGTAAAATTTGTTAGGATTAGATCATCTTTATGCTTCGTTCAGGAACTAAATTAATAGCAACTCATTTAAAGAACAAATTAGTTATTCACATCAGACGGCTGCCTGCCTGGAAAACTTTTGGTGGCAGTCATGTCAAATTCATAAATTATAAACAGTAGTTTTGATTAATAGAGTGGGCACCAAATGTTGTCAGCTCACAAGGACACATCTATTGAAAAATTGGGTATTAATAGCTCCACAGAACGAGTTCTTTAATACCCAAAACAAGGTTTTGAAAAGGTAGGTTAGTGGTTGTCAAGATTTTTAGGATTTTCATCATAGTTGCAGAATCACAATTGTAATTGCTTTGCTAATTTTTGTTAGCAATTTTTTTGTACTATTAAAATTGATTGGCGACAAAGTTGACCCATTCCCAATTCAAGAAGACCTTGACATGAAACTATTGGTTGGTGACGGAGTTTACCTATCCCCAAGTTAAAACCTTGACACGGAACAATTAGTTGGCGGCGGAGTTGAGCCATCCCCAAGCCAATATTGGTGGTGTATAATGTTTAATAACCCCATCATTCAGCTTTGCTGTATATGACCGATTCCTAAAACAATAGTCAGAAAACATTTGGTTTTGGACTGAAACGCTCAACATCTTCAGAAGAATTTATGAATTTAGAATGATGCGAAACAATTATGTGAATGAAGCATTATATGATCATGTAACTTTTAAGCTTTTTCGATAACAGCAAATCATGAAACTGTTTGTGTAGCCACCAACTAGGAAGAATAATTTGCTTTTTCGCTGCCTGTCCAAATTGAGGTGAAAGTGAATGATGCCAAGTTATTTCACGAAAGTTATTACTTATTACGATTAATTTAGTGATGATAAATTTGAATAATTTGCATAAGCTAGTATCTGCATCCAGAGAAGGGTCCTCAACTATGATTTTAGCCTTCTGCTTTCCATTTTTAGGTTTCCTTTTCATCATTAAAAATGGAAAAATGCGTCTTAGAATGAAATGATGTATAATAAAATAGCATTATAGTATTATGTACTGGAACCCTATTTAGGCAAACGAATTATGGTTTGGGGGAAAAAGAAATAACATTAAAGCACACACCATGCGACCAGAGTACCCTCAACTCCTTTCGATCATTATATAGACTCTATTCAACATTTGTGATAGAAGAATGGATCAAACTAGAAACGGATAGAATGAAAAGAACACACAAAAAAAAATATACAAATTAGCCTACCCTTCACTTAAATAAGTGAGATACACAAACTTTAAATATTTGAGCATATTCTCCATATAAAAAGCAGTAGAAAAATCCAAAAAATCTCTTATTCGGTTGCCAAAACAACAATCTCATCGAATTTCAAATTTCCTCATATTGTTGACTTAATCAACACATCACCATCATTATCATTAATATAAGTATTTGCTAACTTTAACAACTTAAGATCTAAAGCTTCTTATATATATTGATATCACATCAATATGTTTAAATATTGAATAAAAATTCAAACTCTTTCCAAAATGAAGATGAATAACACTTTGACTATCTACTTATGTAGATATTTTTTCTTGAACAAAACCAAACTTGTGTAATAATTTCTTCATCTATAACATCTTCTTACATGTTTTTGTAATAAAATTCTGGTTCTTTACCATTTGTCAAAATCACAAACTCGTAAGCAAAGTACATATTAGATGGTATCTTCTCCATGTTAGACCTCTTGGGTTGAACTTAAGAAGGTTTAGTAGCATCACTAATTTTTTTATCCTGTGACACTTCATGTCCCTCTTCATCATCATATCCATGAATAAGGACATCGATCCATCTTTATAGTCATAGTCATGTTGTTCTTCATTCTAAACACCTACATAAAAAATATTGATATATGTCAGTCAAAATCTTGTGCTCCTTGACTATATATCTCGTTAATGTCTTTAATGGTTTTTCCATGAGTTTCTTATCACAACTTGTTACAAACTTTGTTATTTTGTTCCATTGGCTTTTTATTTTTAGTTCATTTTCCCGTTCTACTAATAATAATTTTCTTTATTTAAATAAGTCATTTTTGTAAATGTCGCAAAAGACAATACTTTAACTAAGGAACTTTGACACACTTTGAAGGGAAAATAATAATAATTCAATAACAAAGCAAAGAGGAATGAAATAATTATTTTCTCAACTTGTAAGAATATGTGAGGAGTACCAATAAAAAGTAGATGACAAAAAAACCAAATGAACAAGAGCATATGAAACACAAACTTTTAAGTTAGAAAGCCCTCAATGTAAAGATAAATATCATAATCAACAAGAGTCTCCAGCAAATCCATAACCAATATACATAATCAAAGATAACAACCTTATATGAAAATACCAGTGGTCTGTAGAGTTCTCTGAATGTGCAAGCAAAGTTTTTGTTCGGTTTGCATGTCTAATCACATATTGAAGCTTTTTTGTGTTATTGTTGAATATTACAAGAACTTAAAACCAAGAACAGCCCTTAAATCCATTTCCGAATTGATGTTTGTGTCAAAGTGTCCACACAGAAAAGCTTAAAATAATATCACCAACTGAGTCCCTTCACTCATTAAAAACACAAATGATGTCAACTATTACAATTCTGTCATTTCCAACTGTAACTATTAACTACTTTTCAAGATATTTATGGAAAACAGGCATTGTGGAGCATATGGACACTATTGTCAAACGTTGCCATCACCTTGCGTTTAATGAGAAACTGTAGACAGATTACAATATTACATTCCTGTTCATTCCGAGCTATGTTTATGTTTCACACTTAAATACGAGGAGCTTTTAACCAGAAACAAGAGCAAATGTTCTCAATTTTCAACAGTGTTCCATACTTTTGGAATTCAAGTTTCAGTATATTTGTTTTTCTAGCCATGCTACTTTTTCAAGGATTCCTACCATATCTAATCTCACTTGTTTATAATCAAACCGTATCAAAATCATATGCCACTCAATTTGTTGTTATTGTAGAGTTTCTAACATAAAACCTTTTCGGATACCAAATATATAAAATATATTAGAAATACATTAAAATTTTAAAAGATATTTTAAATTATATATTAATTTATATAAGTATAAAAAATAAAATTGAGACCAAGATTTCCTCTTGTCATCATTGCGCGATATCAGTTAGTATTTCTTTTTTCTATTCAAATTAGCATTTTTAAACACTAGTCTTTTATTTCAGATTGTTGATTGTCATAATTTGTTTGTTTTAAAAATAAACAATTTTATATTTTTTTAAATGAAACGAAAAAATATTTAGTTCCTAAATATATATTTTATTTTAAATCTAACCAATCCATTATCTGAATCTTGTTAGAGAAAGTAATAGTGTAACCGCCATTCCATTTATAGTCTAATTCTATCTTTACGTGGTATACGTATACAACTGAATTCTTTAATTTAAAACATGTATTATACCTTAATATTATATAAATTAATTAAGTTAATATATAAGAGAAAATCAGTAAGAATAATAAAAAATAGTTTAATGTTATTTGTAGAAATTATAAATATAATAAAGAAAGAAAGAAAAAAGATAAATCATTGATAATTTTATATAAAATATTTCAAAATCGTAATTACTTCTGAAAAAAACTTAGTTAATAATTATAAAAAGTAAAATAAAAATAAAAGTTGTGTAAAAAATGTATTATTTATATATAAATATAGATAGATAAATTAATAATAAAGACGAGGGACAACTAATTTTCAATTTATTACTTTGAATCGAGGAGGAGGAGGTGATAGCGTGCTCACGAGTCCTTAACACATATTGCTTTTCTATTGTTATTTTTTGGGTTAAATATGTTTTTCATCCCTTAATTTTTAGTGAAATTTGAAATTAGTCATTCTTTAAAATTTTCGCCTAATTTAGTTCCCAAACTTTAAAAAAAATGTTTGAATTTAGTCTTTTTAACTAAATTTTGTTAGGTTTATTTGATGTTTCAAGTGCGTTTCATGATAGCATGAATTGTTTATACTATTTGACACATTTTTGTTTCAATGTTAACTGAAAAATGTGTTTGAAACATCAAATAAAGTTAACAAAATTTGGTTAAAAGGACTAAATTCACACATTTCTAAAGTTTGGGAACTAAATTGGTTCAAAGTTTTGAAGAGTGACTAATTCTAATTTTCACACATTTGATGTTTTTTATTTGTTTTTTTTAATTTTAAGATAATATTTTTTTTCATACCGTCATTATTAAAGAAGAAAAGTAGTTACAATAACTAAGAGGAAAAAAAAGTAAAAACACTTAAATGTAAGAGTGTTCAAAACTAAAACAATTTAAGTTCAAAAAGCGTATTAAAAGATTTGATCAAAATTACTTATTTATTTATTTTTATAATACATTTTTTCTTAAATTTAAGTGAGTTTGGATCTTGGATTAAAATTCAACAACTCAATTAAACCGCTTATTATATTTAAATATAACGTTTTATGTTTATGATTAATTAAAAAAATAACAATTATATAGAATATTTGTTTTATAATTTGATTGAAGTGTATTTACAATATATCTATATTTGTTAAAAAAATATAAATATTTTATTTTAATTTTTAATTATAATTTTATCTAATTTATTTTAAATACAAGGTAATTTAAAATTATAAAAATAAGACAAATCATTCCAAAATAATTCATAAATATCTACTTAAATTTTATCATTATTAAATGTTTAACGTAAAAAATAATTGATAATGAAAAAAAAAATCAACTCAAACTTTATGTAAAAATATTGGTTTGATTTGATTCCAATTTAATATTATATCAACTTATCTTTATATTTTGTTTGGTGATTATTCAGTGAAAAATTTTACACAACCAGTAATGTAAAAATATTATTTTACATAATCTCATTAGCATTAGTTTAAGAGAAATCAATATAAAAATTGATTCGGTTACAATTTTGTATATATTCTACATTGGTCAGAGAAAATTTAAGTACGTTAGTGAAAGACATGTGTTTGCAAGAGAGTGGACGGTTCAGTTTTGACGGTAGTATTTAAATGAAAATTTCACAATCACGTTCCACTTTCTGCATTCACTATCTCTTCTCCAACTTTCTGAAATCTTTTTTCTCCTTCTTCTCTCTAACTTCTCTCTAGAACTTCACACATTCTCTTCATCTGATCAACAATCAGGTGGTGCTTGAGTTTTCTTGGTGTCAAGAGCTTTCTTTCGAACCAATCAAGTGATTGTTTAAGCTTGTAAGTTCTTCTTCTTCTTAGAAATTCGGTTTCCTGGCACATGCAAGTCATGTTTCTCGTTGCATGTGTTTATCATCTTTTTCTCTTGAAATTCTGATCACATTTCTGGTCTTGTGGTTGATCTATTTTCATCAATCGGTGAACTTTGGGTTTCTAAGATTTCTGGTGGTGAGCAAGTTTCTAAACTGTGAGTTTTTCTGTTCAGTTAAGAGGTAAGAGAAGCTAGTTAATTTAATTATGATTTACTATGTATGAATATGTTGTTTGATGATTATGCATGTGTGTAAAAGTGAATGAATTGGTATTCGACATTGTGGGACGTGTGCATGTGTGGATAATTTGATGTTGGCTTGATTTTTGTGTATTGTCAAGACCTGTGAACTGGTTGAGAAGTTCTACAAATTTATGTAGAAATTCGAGTGCTCATTGTTGAATGCTCGGTCATGTCAGTTAATTGGGCTTAGCGGTATTCGGTTTCGTAGTGATATTATGTCTTAGTATTGTTCGGTTTAATATTGACGTTCAATTTTAAATGTACTCGTTTTCGACCTCGGCAGTCTTCGGGTTGGTATTATCATTCGTTCTTAGTCGTACTATGTTTAGCATTCGATTTTGGTAGTATTCGATGGATTATAGCGTTCGGTCATACACTAGTATTCAGTAGTCATAGCGATCGGCCCGCTCGGTCATATGCTGATTGGCCGCTCGGCTATGTTCAGGTACTCGGTCATTAACTGGGTTTGGTCTTTTTAGTCTTATCGTTCATGACCGTTCGACCTTAGGTGTGTGGATAGTTTCTTGTTAAGTGCTCGGTCTTGTAATAGTAGTTATGCTAGTATTAGCGCTCGGTCATGTACTAGCAGTTATGCTGGTGTTAGTGCTCGGACTTATACTGGTAGTAATGCTAGTGTTAGCGCTCGATCTCGTACTAGCGCTCGTTCTCGGTAGTGCTCGGTGTCGTACTAACACTCATTCTTGTAGTGCTCGGTCTCGTATTAGCACTCGTTTTTAGTAGTGTTCGGTCTCGTACTAACGCTCATTCTTGGTAGTGTTCGGTTTC